ACATGCAATAGAGTTAAAAATGTGTAACTGTTTAGATCTACCTTCTATTTCTAGATAAACAGTACAGAGCTGGTTGTAAAAGAAAATAGTTACAAAATCTGATGCTACATTATTCAAAAATGTTACAAAATCAATTTGAGTTGAATAAATGCCACTGAGAATATTTGAAAATATATTATATATATAAATAGGGCACCGATACCATTTGGAGAGCCAAAAGTTTATTCAACTATTGTCACCCATTCCAGGTAAAAAGTTCTACTGGATTTACTTAGTTTTAGTCTTTAGGCATCGGTGCAACACTAATTTTAATGTAAGCAGAGTTTCTGCAAACTGAAATATAGAACCAGGTTTAGAGTAGTAGGGTACGGCATGCTGGAGATTCACTGCTGTTTTTGACTAAGCTGTCTCAGTGAGGAACTCTAGACGTCTACAATGAAAGTTAGACATTTAATTTAAAACAAGCAGCAACAGCAGCTCTGCCTGCAAAGGTCATTGCTGGATTGAAAAGAGCTTCACAGATGAACTGAGATGTAAATACAAATAAGACAAAGTTGTCTGAAAAGAAGAGTTGAGATGAAGGTTTTTAGATATTTTATCTTTAGTTTGAAAGGAAGTTAATAAAATGAAAGAAACTCTAAGGACTCCTTTATTACAGTTTAACTTCTGTGTTAAATATGAATCTCCTCATGTCTTGATGGCAGAGTATGTACTGAAATCTGAACTTTGGATCGTCCTCTTCCTCTTCGTCCTCTGTGATGGCGGATGGATTTCCAGGGCAGCGTAACAAACATTTTCATCCTAGGAAGTAATATTCAGAATCATCACCATTTTAAAAAGTTTAACACAGAAATAATTTTTATAAAACAAAAACAAATAACTGTTCTGTTGTTTGTTACCTGGGCTCCTTCCGTCTGCCTTGAAATGTCACATCTCTTATCTTCAGCTTCATCATTTGCTGTAGGTATGAAAAATTTTTCAATATAACAATATAAAAATGTAGGTCATATTTTTTATGTCAAAAATCATCTTCAGCACCTTTCTTCAGGCAAAGCAGGTAGACCAGCAGTGAGGAGAAGAGAGCTGAGAGCAGAGAAACAGCAGGACAGACAGAGAACAGCAGCTTCCAGCACAAACCACACTCCTCCACTGGCCTGGAAATGTTCTGATGCAGGAAACCAGACCCTGCATCTAAAAAGAGACACACATTTAGGAAAAACTCAAATAGCGTCATTTGTTGTGTTTCATTAAAATATTTTGTAATGGTAAATTATATTAAAAAAAAAATCTTAATTTATTTTCAGCAGCTAAACAGATTGTTGTAGCCTGTATTTTTAAGACAAAAAACTATTTCTTAATCACCTCCTGTGATTAAGAATGGATGTCATTAGCTGATTTCTACCAATAAATACTGATAATTTATAACATTTTATTAAACATAATAATCAACAGGAATCATTTCACAGGACCTAAAGTGGGAGCTGAACATCAACTCCCTCACCAAGAAAGCCCAGCAGAGGAGGTACGTCTTGTGGCAGCAGAAAAAATTCAACCTGCCAAGGACAATGATGGTGCACTTCTACTCCTCCACCATTGA